TTAGAGGAAACTCAAAGAAATAAAAATACAATAACACACAAAAAGGGTAACAAAAAAAGTTTGTAAAAAAAAAAAAAAAAAAGAATCCCCTGTGTTTTTTGTATTAATTATTAATGTATCAAAATTTTGGTAACACTTTATTTGAAGGGGTGTGTATAAGACTGACATGACACTGTCATGAACATGACATAACATCTGTCATGAACATAAGTCTTTATGAATGTTTATGACTGTTGTCATGAAGTGTCATTCGGTAAATAATGACACTTTTAATGCAAAGTTGCTCTAAAAGTTGCTTTGAAAGTCCATTAAAAGTGCCAACTTTGCATTAAAATTATTATAATTTACAAAATCATGCAAAGTTGGCACTTTTAATGGACTTTTAATACAACTTTTAGAGCAACTTTGTATTAAAAGTGTCATTATTTACCGAATGACACTTCATGACAACAGTCATAAACATTCATAAAGACTTCTTTATGTTCATGACAGATGTCATGTCATGTTTATGACAGTGTCATGTCAGTCTTATGTACACCCCTTCAAATAAAGTGTTACCAAAATTTATTAGAAATTAATTCAGGCAAAATGCAGTTCCTTGCAAAAAATATTCATACCCTCATACAACATGTTCTTCATCGAGAAAGAAAAACACAAAATGGTACCAAATTATGAAGTGGAAGGAAAATGACAAATGATATTCACACTTTTTAACAGATGGCATCAAGTCTGAGTTTTTAGAAGTGTTTTTTTTATTATTTATTTTTTTTTCAGCTTTACTGAGTTAAAGCTTTTGAGAACCAACTTTAATTGGTACAGCAGCAACTCTTTTCAGGTATGCCTCCAGTGACTTTGCACACCTGAGGACTGATTTTGTATTTTTAGTTTTTCAGTTGAAGTTCATGTGAATTGATCCACAGTAAAAGCTCATCACCCATTGTGATTTTCTCTGAAGGCACCATCAGCTGAGTGCCTTCCTGAAAGCTTTAATCTACAACACTGTCCTTCAACTTATGCTTATTTGTTCCAAGGAAAAGTGAAAAAAATATATAAATCTCTTTTTCTTCATATTTATGTTCTTCATTCAAATGTTTTTGTTTTGCTCTCTCTTAATCAAACTACTTGAAAAAATGTTGAATTTCCTCTAGCTGAAGTTAAAATCAACTCTATAATATATATTTCAATTTTGACAACAACCTATTTATTTGAAAACTAATATATTGCGTCGTCATGTTTTGCTGCAATTTGCTTATTTGATGGACAATTTAGAGTTAAATATCAAGCTTTTAGACAATATAGAGCTTTTCAGTCTGTTATTTCTGTGATGTTTTGATTTCGGTGTTGCTTTGACGTGTCATACGATGGGAATCACCAGCCAGCGCTGACCCTGACCCCGTTGGACTGACTGATGTCTAAACAGAAAGCGAGAGGACTCTGACAGTTTGGACCTTGTGTTACTGCAACTGCAACTTACATCAAGAGCCAGTAACTGCTGTCTGGAACAGCTTGAAATTGATTTATGAGATCGATATATATGTTACATAAAACATCAGCAAGACTTATAGACAGTTTCTTTATTCTTGCCAAAGATGTCCAGTACTCGTCTGGTAAAATGATCCGGCTGTCCGAGTTGTGGACACTTGAATGTTCTCTAGGTTCAAACGGTGAGTTGAGTTTTAGGATTAAATATGTCACCTGTGCCAAGCCTTGTTTTTACAGCTCTAATATCAAATCAATGCACACATTAAGGAGACGGAGTGGGGATTCATAAATAAAACCAGCCAACGCTTTAATTCAGGAACAAACTGTTTCCGTTGTGACTTATGTTGGGTTATGCAACTCGAGTGCTGCCAGGGGAGTTAAATGCGGCGGGGTTATGGACGGCCAGTGCAATTCTTAGAGTGTGAAAAATGAAAGACAAGTTATGCCTTAAAGAGACTTGGTGAAAAGCTT